CCTCCCACCGGGGATGTGCTCGCAACCAAGGTACATGCCCTTGACCGGAATCAAACCTGGGACCCCTCAGTCCGCAGGCCGACACTCCATCCACTGAGCCAAACCGGCCACAGCAACGTTTATTTTTAAGTTGCCAGTGCACGCATATGTACCAGCCGGTTGGACAGGTGGTCGGATGGATGTATAGTCAGTCACTTAGCCTTTTATATAGAGAGAGATTTTTATTGATTTCAAGAGAAAGGGAGAGGGAGAAAGAGAAACATCAATGAGGAGAAAGAATCACCAATTGGTTGCCTCCTATATGCACCCAACTGGAGATCAAGCCTGCAACTGGGACACATGCCCCACCCCACCGGGAATCCAACCGTATTCTCCTGGTTTAAAGGTCAATGCTCAACCACTGAGCCACGCCAGCAGGGCATGGCTGCAGCTTTGTAGTAGGTTTTGAAATCAGAAGGTGTGAGTCTCCAGTTTTGTTCTTTTTCAAAATGGTCTTGGGGCTGGCTGGAGGTGGGCAAAGGAGGGGAAACGAGAGTGTATAATTGTGCAGTTGTCTCATAACCTTTTTATTTCTATAGAATCAGTAATGTTCCCACTTTTCTGATTTAAGTAATTTGAATCTTCTCTCTTTTTCTCTTAGTCCATTTAACTAAAGGTTTGCCAATTTTGTTGATCTTTTCAAAGAACCAGCTTCTGGTTTTATTGATTTTATTTTGTTTTTTCTATTCTCTATTTCATTTATTACAGCATCCAGGAAAGAGCTGTATCCACAGATACACAGTAAATGCTTGAGAAAGGAACAATTTCTTGGAATACTGCACAGTCATAACTTTTGCCCTTCTTAAACCATTCAGTCAGTTGAAAACTCAGAATTAGATCATGGGGAGTTTATTCTGCCAAATATTGAAATTGCCTCTTAAGAATATCAGAGGTAAAAAGGGATAAAAAGATGGCCCAGGTCAGCAAAAACACAAATGGCTGTTTTGCAGCCAGTTGGAATGGGATAGTCAAAATCCAGAAAGGCTGAGGCAAACCTTCACGGCCTACAGAAATGGCCTCGGGCCACACAGCAGGGAGGAGAGGCACGTGCAGGTGACAATAAATGGCTCCAGTTCTAGAAGCTGCAAATGCCCATTAAGAGATGAACTTAAATGGGAAAGAGAGAGCTCCAGATCGGTCTTTTCAGCCCTGTGACAGTGACCCTGAGACATCACACTAATATCCTGTGGAAGAAGCCGAGGCCAGGAATCGGATTGCCTCTTACTGGTGGAGCTGGGTGAGTCATTGAATCCATTAGAACCTCTGCCCCATCATCCACAAACACCAAACCCATGACCTTAACCATTGACAGTAAGAACTGTCGGCTAAAATGATAAACTATAAAGCGCTATCCACATACAAAGAAAAAGGGGTTCGGTAGTAAAAGTGCCAAGACCAGTGAAAGTCACCTCACACGTGATTTGATCATAAATTCCTCACTGGGCAGGTATGGTGGGTCGTCATGCTCCAGGCCTATAACTTCTTTAGTAAAAGGTTTATCTTTGCCTTAAGCAAGCCCGGCCCATTGTTCTTGTGCATCTAGGTTAACACACTTTTGAAATGCCAGAGTAATTCTATTTCAGATCCCTTGAAGGTATAACCACCCACAAGGGAGCACATAATCTTCTGAACTATCTTACAATCCAGTTTCCATCTTGCTTTCTCCCATTTCCATGTAATCTTCCTTAGCTCCTTCCTAACTTTCAAATGCATAAAAAAAGCTACAAAACTTATTCTCTGGGGCACTTGAGATCTCGCTCCCTGGCATATGTCATTAGCTTGGCTCAAATCTATATATGTAGAAGGCTAAGTGTCCGTCCATCTGACCAGTAGCTATGACATGCACTGGCCACCAGGGGGGCAGAAGCTCAACGCAGGAGCTGCCATGATGCGCACCGACCATTTAAAAATAAACGGCACCACGGACCTGGTGCAGACAAAC